CTTGTCTGAAGATATAACGGAATCCGTCTCATAAATCCTACGTCAGTTTGGATTGGTTTATTGGCTGTTGGGGCCAAAGTATGCAGTGGGTGTGAAGGGGAGGGGCTGGAGCAGATTTAAACCGAAACAACTTCCGGTTTCAGTCCCTCTGATTCCACTCCTGACTCCACCCCGCACTGTTTGTATCTTATTATATCTGATCCATCACCCCCGTGGGCCATACATTTATACAATTAAGCACTTAATTGTCTGACAAGCAAATTGCTTTGTCAATATTTTCACCAAGTCATACCCCTCGTCCTTCATACGTCCCTCCACCATCTGTCTCTATCGCACGCAATTCTGACAGCCTCAAGGAGCCCCAGCCCCAGCTCCCGGAATCGGGTGCTTCACCTCCACCTTCGCCTCCATCTCCATCTCCACTGCCAACCATCAAAGAGGCTTTCAGGCATCTGACCACAAGTGCTGTGGTTGTTGCTGGTGCTGTTGGTGTTGCTGCTACCTAAAAAGCTTCCCTTTTCCCGTGGGGGGGTGGGTGTCTGCCTCGTGTCACTTATATATAAACTTCACTTTAAGCTGTCAATATTTATAAATATTTACACGCCACGAACGGTGGCGGGACCCGGCAGGATTGGAGCCCTTCTCTGTTGTGGCTTGGAGTGGCTCTTGGTGGTTTTCCATGTATCTATCTGGATTGTATCAGAGACAGGAGCCGGCCAGTGGGAGAAGCCAAACAGAAACGAGAAATCTGTGAATACGTGAAGGAGGATTGAAATGTTATTTTGATGTGGGATACATCTAGGGCGGAGCGTGATTTTATTGTTTGGTAATTTATTAAAATTCATTAAATTTAAAGTACGAATTAACCCGATTCCGATACATTTTAAGGGAATTTTAAGGGAAACAACACAAAGGCCGTATTAAATGTGGAGAGATACAATTTGCGTGTGGAATCATCCCCTAAGTTCAGCTGGGTTCAACTGGTGGCTTAAATTGCCTAACCCACATTTGACAATCATTAGGCATAATAAATTTCTCCTGTTATAGCCCTTAGCCCTTTCTGCTGAGACTCCCAATCTCCTGTCGCTGACTAACAAAAGAAAACGATAAACGACTACGGCTTGCTTCCGTTTGGGTTCGATTCGATTCGGCGGGGGCCATAAAACTCCAACATAATTCTCAGGGCCTTCAATCTGAATGATATTTTTATGCAAATCGTAATCAAGAGAGCAAAAGGCACACGCACGGGTACGAGTACGGGTACGAGTACGGGTACGAGTACGGGTACGAGTACGGGATCGAGTTTGTAGGGGGGATGTACGGACGGACATATGCCGAGCACAATTCGGCTTAATAAAAAGCGAACAAATGCCTCCTGATAAGTGTAAAATTTACAATTCCAATTTCGAATTCAATTTTCAGACAGTTGTGCCAAAGTCTTTAAAACCGAACAATGAAACGAAAAGTTCCATGGCCCTAGCTGAGGGCCCGACAACAATGGGGCAAGGATTTGTGGAACAATGCCGCAGATGTTTAACACATATTTTCTCAACTATTTAAGCTGTTGATTTCAACGCTCAATCAAATAAAATTAAAAATTTCCAATTCCCTCTCTTCTTCCAGTGCACTGCAGGGTCCCTCTCCAGGGTTGTTCCTGGCTCTAATCTAGTCTCTAATGAAGTCGTTAAGGGTTGCTGGGTAGTTCTTGGCTCTGCTCTCCTCGGCTTCGCATGTGTGCGGTTAACTTTTGGCAAACACACACAGAGCCCCAGCCCCAGCCTCACCCCAGGCCCGAGCACAGAAGACGATGGAGGTCCATTATTGTTGGCGTTCCAGCCGGCAAATGAATAAATTATCAACTATGTATGTGAGGTAGGAAAAGTCGTTGCGTTCTTCTACGAGTACGAGTAATGCTGTCGGGTAGTTAACTTCTGTGTACGACTGTGCGAGTGTGCGAGCGTGCTCTAATTGCAGGGCCTTGTCGTCAGGCTATTAGAAGTCGGCCCTAATGGGCCTCATTGGGTCCGGAATGGGGGGAGCGGCAGGGGGCTTTAAGTTGGGAGAAGCCACAGCAACATTAGCGCATAAAAAAGGCATTTGTAAGACATGAAAGGTACTCAGTCAGGGGCAGGTGGTTTCCTTTCCTTTCCATTTCCATTTCTATTTCTTTCCTTTGCAGCCCCTAATCCCCCAACAGCCGACAGTCTCCCCCAACACAAAAAAGGAAGACAAATCAATGCAGGTGTCACAAATGTCAGACGACTGCTTTCGGAGCCGTCCTGCGAGCAGGAGGAGGATATTAATGTCGCCAAGTGAATTGATGATGACGATTGTTGTTGTCCCAAGGCATAAGCCGATTTGCCATCTTATCACAGGTCCATCCCCGTCCCCATCCCCACCCCCATCCCAGGCACACGGCTTTTGATCCTCTCTCCGTCTCCGTGTCCGCTTTTGACTGCGACTCCACCTCAGATTCTGATTCTGATTCCGATTCCGATTCTGACTCCGATTTCAATCTCTGAAGCGAGCTTTCATAATGGGCTTCCCCTTCGCCGATTGACAGACATAATAAATCATGTGTTATAGTATTAATCAACCGGCTGCCTGCCTTTTGGCTGCTCTTCTCCTCTGCTGCTGTTGCTGTTGCTGCTGCTGTTGAGGTAATCGCTTGACATTTATTGCAGCTACCCCTGGGATCCCGAGGTAAGACTGGCTTTAAGTCCTCCACAGTAGGCGCTCCTGATTGCGACTCGCCGGCCTGCTTCCATTCTTGAATCTGTCTCTCGGCTTGCTGGCTGGTTGGCACTTGCTGTTCGTCTTTTGCTCTCCGGCCATTTCCTTGCATTGTTTCTCTAATTGCTATTTGTCGCAGTGTCCTTCAGACCCCCACAAGCCCCCACACACACCGAATAGCAAAGCTGTCTGGCCGTCACATTAAGAACTTGTAAAGTTAAATTAAGTGTTTCGTCCACTAGGCAGAAAAAAGCCACTCTCTGCGCAGCGGGGAGCAGTTGCAGGAGTTCTGAGTGGAGTAATTGGAGAATGTAAGCGAAGGTATTCTGAAAAATATAGAAAGGGGAATTCAATGGGAAGTTCTCGCACTTTGGAACAACATCCAAACAATTATTTTATAACGAAGAACGCCTTCCCCAAACTACATGGAATACAAGTACAAATACATTTATTTTACTCAATTAATGCCCCAAAAAGAAACCAATTAAAGAAAACTCTGCTCTGCAGTGCCATTGAATTTGCGTATAATTTCTGAAACCGCCCACGCAGCTCCCTCGCATTGCCTGAATTCACCTACAGAACATGGCTAGTAATATTATTTAATTCGCAGACTGGTAATTGTAATGCAATTAAGAGATTAGCTGAGAATGCCATTAGGCTTTACTCTGCTCGGGGAGAGGAGAGCACTACAGCGGAGATGGCATTGGTGTGCAAGTTGTCAGGAATGGTCCTCTGAGTAGACTGTCTCCTACTTACTTCTTTCCATTCGGAAGCACTTCAATCATGTCTCTGCTTAGAGAATCCGAGCCAAAAAAGAATGGAATGCACTTTTCAATTATTTAAATGACATTCCAAAAATCTTAAGTGTTTACACGATTTGCTTGAAAGAGGGAAAGAAAAGTCTGAGAGGGGAAGGGGAAGTTCCGATGAACAACTTAATGTAATTGCTGGCCCTTCGACGAGTCTGGAGGACCGAAAACACCCAAATCCGATACAGAATAAAAAAATGAACCCTCCGGGGATGAGGACAACTTGTGGGCTGTCCACACGGTCCATTTAAATAAACCCAATGTTGACTTTGGCAAACTAGTTTGATTTCTTTTCGAGTATTTTTTGTTAAAAATAAATGTCCCTGCATTTTATTTTGCTTTCCATTTGATTTGATTTCCTGCCTAGGTCTGTCCCCGACTCTGGTTCTCCTCCTGCTCGTGGGAGTTCCTTTTCCAGCTGATATCAGCAAAAATCGCAAATCAAATAAAGCAAATTGAATAAAAGACAAGTGCCACGCCTCTGAGTCAGAGCCAGAGACAGAGACAGAACCAGAACCAGAGACTAAGTTCGGAAGCGAATGACTGTTGGGTATGGCTGTGGGAATGGGAATGGGAATAGGAATAGCAATGGGCGTGGCAACGGACCTATAGTATAGTATAAAATTAGTTGCTAGTTGCCATTCGTCGAGCGCTGGAAATGCGAGGAAAGAAATCAAAATGTTCGCATAAAAGAATTATCTGTGCTTAAGTTAGATTATCCCTGGGCCATAGAATCCAATTGGCAATTGAATGGAAAGATGTCACAGATTCGATTTTGCAACTCCACTTTCCTGCCCATCTCTGCACCCCTCTTCCCTCCCCTCCACTGCGATGGCTTCCCGTCCCGCAAATTCGACTGCCACTTGAAAATCTGTCCAAGCGCTGTATCTGTATCTGTCTTTGTATGCATTTGCTTTTTCTTTTATCCAGTTTCATTTGATTTTCCTTGGGCTTAGGCAACAACCATTCCAATGTCTTTGTCTGTGGGTGGCCGCATACATATAGCATGCGGGGGTTGGGAGTGGCCAGGGTTTTGGGTTAGACAAATGTTATAGCGCTATCAAGAAGAAGGTGGCACTGAAAGGAGGGTAGATGTATATGTACCCATTAACGTTGTTGGGAATGGGGATGGATGATGTCGAGAGGACGCCTTTTTGATCCTGAATTGTGTTAACCCACAAATCGTTTCGTATTATACATGCGAATACAATACTTGGAGTTTACAGCTTTCGAAACTACAGGAAACATTTCTTTTGTAGAATTGCCAAGTAATTAGGTTTTTCTTTTGTGCAATATTCAGCATATTGGTAATTGACTGGCTCCCAATAAATGGTCTTGCTCAGTCCTCATACATGATGATAAATCTGTTCTTTAATTCTGTTCTAATAGTTCCACTACAAGAATTCCAACTTAAGGGTGTGGTCTCTCCTCCTTAAAGCACTTTTTCATTTAGTTGAATCAATCATGTTTTTATTAATAGAGTTTTTCGGTAACTAACAGAACACTTCATTGATGTAACCAACCAATCAACCATTTACTAACTACGAGCACTACTCTGTTAACACAAAGCTCCCTCGAGTACTCCTCTGTCGCTCTTGTTGGCCTTAGGGGGGGCTTCGATCTCCCGAATAACCTCATTCCAGAGACTTACCTCCCGTCTGATAAAGTCCAGGATAAGGGGCATCTCATAAGCTCGTAAGCTGGGCTTTATGCCTGAGGAATGGAATGGATGTGGATGCTTCGTCGAGCACTGGCCGTGGGCCGCTGGACGAGTACACTTACCGCGACGCTTGCACAACATCCTATACAGGCTTACGATGCAGTCGAGGGAGCGTTCCTTGTCCAGATTGTTATTGGCGATGACGTCCTTGCAGCTGCTTAGAATCTTCTCCCACTTGAGGCACGTCTGACGCGCCTGGTTGTACGAGCGCTCCATCCTGCCCAGGTCGTTCTTGAGGCCCAGCACAGTTAGGGCCGCCTCGCTGGTTAACTGAACCATCCGTTTTCGCATTTTCTCGATTTCCTCTAGTTTCTGGTTCTGCAGTTGGCTGATCTCCACCTGGGCAAGCACTAAGCAGGAAACAACAGACAGATATGGGGACACATTGGATGGCCTGAGTCTGAATGCTTACTCAGCGCGTCGCAGCGATCGATGCAGTCCTTGGGGGACACAAAGATATCGGACACCTTCACCACATCGCTAAGGACGCGCTCGTATGGCTGAAACTGGGTCACCGTGGCCTTAAGATCAGTGCGGAAGGCCTTCAGTTCGGAAATGGAGCTCTTGAAGGAATCGATTCCCTTGTTCAGCTCCACGTGCAGAGCAGACTGCTCGTGAATGACCTTGTTTGCCGCCCGCTTCTTGTCCACGCAGTCCTTGAAGAAGCTGTTTACCTCGACGAACCGCTTGCGCAGGCGCTCCTGCATCTTGTACATCTTCCGAATGCGCTGATTGTTGGCCAGGGACTGGCGCTTTGCATCTTGAAGCAGTTGCTTCTGCAGCTCCTTCATCGCATTGTTCTCGCGGAGATTTTCGATGTACATTATCTCAATCGAATCGCCTGGCGAGTCCCAGTTGGGAGGCTTACTAAACCATCACGAGGGATTCAGGTGTCGATGAGGACTTTTTAGTTACGAGGGTCACCAATTAGCTTACACAAAGTATTGGTCCTGCTGGCGAGAGACGCGATAGTCGCCGACGGCCTGCTCGGGACGGAGATCCAAGCTCCCGACCACATCGATGGTGAGGGTGGGCTTGTGGCGCGGCATTTTATCGTTGAATATAAAACCTCCTATAAAATATATCTGATATAATTGTACGTTATATAATTATCTATCTCTGCTGTATGAATACGTTTCGGGTCACAGTTAGACTGTATATATCCAAAGGGAAGACAACTCCAGTCCCGCCTACTGTTTGATTGCTTGAAATTGTAGTACTATCATTTGCTGTTTGCTTTGTAAAGTAATTCTCAATTTTATCTGCTTTTATTATATGGAAATAGCAACGGTCAAACCATTTTATTTAAAAACAATTGTGATTTTCTTCAGGGCGTTAGCTAAAAGATGAACGAGAAGGAACGTTGTGAGTCGCTTCTGTGGACGCGACTCTACTTTTAAACCCGATACTCAGTCAGTATACATGTAATCCCATGATTTATGTAACCCATTCAATATATTTGAGTATGACTAAGCGCTTGGAAGAGGTAGCGTAGCTACCGGAAAATGCACTACACGCCTTTTGCGGTGGCAGAAGAGGGCTGTTCGAAATTTTGATTCAGTGTGATGTCACAGAATTCTGTTGCTCTAGCTTATGGTCTCTGAAAACTAAGGCTATGATGATGATCAAGAATATATATATTTTATGGGGTCGGAAGCGCTTCCCGTCTGGCGCTTAGACACATCCACATAAGCCACAAATCTAACATATTCATAAACTCTTCAAGTACAGGGCTTACAAATTCTCAGAGTTATATTATGTGGCAAAAAATGTACGTAAGTAGTACCAAAGGTAATATAATATTTATGTGTTAATTGTGTTTTGGTGGTAATACCCATCTTCAAAAAGCCCTTGGCAACTATTGCCGTGGGGATTTTCGATCGCCCAGGCAACCAATGTTTTGTTCGTTTCACCACAATAAAGTCATGTTCCAAGTAGGTGCCGCACTATTTGTTACAGTAATAATACACAGCTACCAGCAAACAGCAAACAGAAAAACTCACCAAATTAGTATCCAAAACATTTCTTTACTACGTTTTTAAGTCAGGGGACTCAGTCAAGATGCCACGCGTTAAGCCCACTAAGAAGCTCGACGTCTTGGGCAACTTGGACCTGCGGCCCGAGGATGCAGTTGGGGACTACCTCAACTCCAAGATGCAAGACAAGTTCTTTGTGTAAGTTGTTAACATTGTCAGTGGGACGACATCCTTCCTCAAGATTAAAACTCGCTCAACAGAAAGCCGCCGAACTCAGACTCTGCTGGGGACTCCATCGAGCTGTTGTTCATTCAGAATCATCGCGAGCATGATGCCATGACCAAGCTGCAGAAGGAGATGCTGGCCAGTGCCAAGAGGCAGACGGAGCTGAACTCGTCTCGTGTGCGCAAGATGTACAAGATCCAGGAGCGCCTGCGAAAGCGGTTCATCGAGGTGAACAGCTTCATCAAGGACTGCGTGGACAAGAAGCGTGCGGCGGACAAGACAATCAACGATGAGATTGTCCTACACGGCGAGCTCAGCGATGGCATTGAGAGTTTCAAGGGGTCGATAGGCGAGCTGAAGGCCTTCCGTGAGGCCCTCAAGGCCACCGTTCAGGAGTTCCAGCCGTACGAAAAGGTTTTGGATGAGGTGGTAAAGGTCTCCGACATATTCGTCTCTCCCAAGGACTGCATGGATCGATGTGATGCCCTAAGTGAGCATGCGATGAGTCGAGTCTAGATATAGCCCTCTGACACATTATTTTAGTGCTAGCACAGGTCGAAATCAACCAGTTGGAGCAGAAGAAACTCCACGAAATCGAGGAAATGCGCAAGAGCATGGTGAAGGTTACCAATGAGGCTGCCCTCACGGTGCTGGGCCTCAAAAATGATCTTGCCAAGCTGGAGCGCTCCTACAATCAGTCGAGGGTCTTGTGCCTAAAGTGGGAAAGCATCCTGGCCACCACCAAGGATACCATAACCAACAGCTATATGGACAAAGAGCGGAGTCTGGATGGGGTCAACGTCCTGTACCGCACACTCTGCAAACGCCGTGGTGAGTTCACGATTCAGTGCTGATTCGATTCCAGCGAATACACATCAATAAACTTGATCTACTTTACACAGATCTACAGCCCAATGTACCTCGCAACGACGTTGAGAAACAGATGGATTTCATAAAGGCCGAGGTCGAGATATTGATGGGAACTTTGCAAACCTCCCAAGGCGATAGAAAATCGGATGAGCATGCCGTTGGAGATTTGACCCTCTGCTAGCCGGGCCAAATTTTAATGTTTTCGTTGGAGATAAATTCAAAAGAATACTACAAGATATTCAGAAAAAAAAATTTGTATTGTGGAATTGATATTATATTTTCGTGCTATATAAAGAGCATCAGATGATTAAATACCGAAACATCGGCAGTAAAATCACATACGAATATGTGACAAGTAACATGACTTGTCAATTGGATAACTCATATTTCAATTTTATATATTTCATATTTAAATTTAATGTGTATCATATTTAAATTTAATATGTTCCATATTTAAATTGAATATGGTTTATGGTATTAATTTGCCTAAGCGGACCACATTTCATGTCCTCATGGCGTGAAGTGGTTAAAGTTTTCAACTAGAAATGTTCAAATTAAGTCATAATAATATTCAATATGAATATGAAGCATATTAAACTACAAATTTAATATGTTATAGTTATTTTAAAGTGTTTTGTATTTAAATTAGATATGACCGTATTAAAAAAGCCTTTTTAATACATTTATATTTGAATCAAAGTGAATTCTATTTAATTTTAGTATGTTTGTATTTAAAAATCGCATATTAATTTGAAATATGAGTGCAGTTATTTTTACTATGCCTTTTTTCTATCAGTATAGATATATGTACATATATGAATATTTCAATATATTTTATTCTTTTGTGCACTTTAAGCAGTGTCAGCCAAACACTCTCTGTCCAAAATATCCTTTAGATGAAACTGAGTGACCCTTAACTCCATATCGGCTCTTTTTCATCCGCTGCTCCTCTTTTCTGCACCGTGGCACATCATTCTCTGTCTTTGGCTTTGACCTACGACTGCAGTTGGTAACTGTTATTAATTGTCCTACGCTGCATTCGCTTGTTAATGCCACTTTCTAATTGCTTTTACCTCATAAATCTCTTGCCCCAAGTAGCCCAAGTAGCAATGCTTTGTTTCTTCACTCGGTCCGTGCTGGATCCGGGCACGCCATGGCCACGGGTCCGGTTTTTGTCGCCCGCTCTGCAGTCATCATAAGTCACCAAATTGTCGGACACTCAAGACAAATGTGACGCTGGCTTATTTAATTAGAAAGCTGCAGACAGGGCCAAGTCCGAGATGAGAGTGCAGCTAACGGCCCTGGTCTGTGCATCAATTGGACATTAAGCACAAACTGCGCCAACTTCGCTTGACGGCTTTTTAATTACGTCAGCCAGGAAAATGTTTTCCCAGCCCCTACTTCTCATTCTCTGCGCTCGACAATTAGTATTTTCCATCCCCCCATAGATGGCCAAAAAGGGCATTGTCAATTGGTATCTCGTATTTTCTTTCTATTTTTCAATGGGAAAAACTTTTTTAATTACCCTCGAAAAGAGACACTGGAAAAAAGCACTTCTGCCGACGGCTCTGATTTTCAATTATATATTGACAGTCGACTCGATTCGTCGTTTAACCTGTCGGCCCCTTGACATGAGCCGGCCCCGTTCTGTTCCCAATGCTTCGCTGAAAGTTCTCACCAAAAGTTTCGGGCTTAACACTTTTGTTGGCGTGCAACTTTAATGCTGGCTGGATGTCGGCTCTTTTTTAATAATTGATGCGTTTTTTTGGCTGGGCTGTTGCAGGCTCTAAAAATGATACCATTTTGTGCATTATTGTATTATTTACTGGCGATTTAATTGCATTTTAATTATGCGCAAATGTCAAAAAGATAAACGAAATGTGGCAAAAATATTTAAAATAAAAACAGAATTTACACGCGAGCAAAAGACAGAGATTAGCGGGCTGACAAATGCCCGCGACCAAAAATAAATCTCAGATAACCAGAAACCAAAGCAAAAACACACACGCAGTGAGCTGGAAACTATCCCCACACCCAACCCGTTCGGGGTCTGACATCTTTATGCCCGGTCGCGGCTTCTGGTCGTGTTTCGATACCCGTTCTCCGGAGACATTTCCGCTCTGGCTGGTCCGCGATTGGGGTCTGCAGCAAAACAGAATAGAATAGAATAGAACAGAACAGAACAGAAAGGTGTTAGAACTCTGCCGTCTGCAGGGTAGGTGATGTGATGTGATGTATGAAAACATTTAATTAATGCTGACAGCTGAAAATGTCGCGGCCACCTTTTGTTGTGTAAATTCCATCGACTTCTTCCCGACGCGACCCGAGGCGTTGGACTCTATAATTATGATTAGATTTCGCTGCACGTTGACTGCTGCTTGAGCATTTTTCCATTTTATTTTCATTTTCTTTCTATTTTCAACTCGCTCCGGCTCGTTTTTCAATTGAGCAACACGTCAACAAATTAATCCGCTTAGCACTGGCGTACTCCTCCTGGGGGTTGACAGACTAGACAACAGCCAGACCCATCCACATTCAAACCCAAACGCAAACCCAAGCCCCAACTATAACTTAGACCCTAGCCCATACCCAATGTATCAGGTCGGAGTACAGACCGCCGCCAGACGTTTGTCCAGACGGTCAAGCCTTAATCCCTAATAGTTGTTGGCTCTCAAACTTTTCTAGGGTTTCAAGTGGGGGTTTTTTTGTAATCTTTAATGCCCGCGGGTGTCAAGGTGAATGAATGGGACAATTGCGAGTTGGGGCTCCACTCCACTTGGCTGGAGGGATAATTAATGGATTCAGTTGTTCAGCAAATGTACAGCAAATGAATTAAGATTAGCATAACACGGGGACTGCAATCGTTAATTAAGTTAAACAAAGTTGTGCATGAAATGGAATGACTCCTAATAAAAGCAAATAATACTCGAATTTCAACAGAAAATTTCGACCATTTTCCAAAGCAATTACAAGGCTGTCAATAGAAAATGGTGAATTTCCCACATTTAATCATTTTCCGAATTCATCAACAGACAAACAGCCGGGATTACAGCCAATTTGCGAGTAATGCCAGCCCAAAGTATTGACCCTGGACACGTTGTGTGTGTATGGTATGCTATGTAGGTGCCCAGCCATATAACCTTTGGCTGGAGGGCAAAGTGCTCGGCGTCTGACCAGTCTCTGTGTTCTGTGCAGAAGGAAAACAGGAGCAACAGCCATTTTCATAGTAATAACAATATATAACACACAAATTTGAATAACAAATTAACTCACACACATTCATGAAGAGCTCGGCTGAACGGAGAGCACGATGAGTGACATTCAGGAAGTCTTTGACTCTGCCCCTGCCCCTGCCCCTGCCACTGCCACTGCCACTGCATTTGCCTCTGTCTCCGACTCCGACGCCGTCATGTGGCGTGAGACTTGAAATTGCTTGCCATTCGACTTGGCACTCCTGGGCGAGCCGCATACAACATACAACATAATTGAATGCCTGCAGGATATGCACATAGGAGCAACCATAGCAATAGCCACAAAATATTTGCTTATGTACACGAGACCAGACGAGAAGAGACCAAACCAGACCAGACCAGACCAGGCCCGAGCTGAGCGGAGCGTGGCGTGGCGGTACCAGCCCCGACCAGGCCCAGGCTCTCGACCAGCAACCAAATGTGACTTTGCAGCGTCAACGTCAATGTTGCATAAATCAACACACCGACGATGGCGCTGCCAATTCTGTGGCTCTACTGTATACGCCATGCCCCTTCATCCACGCCCCCTCAAATCTGATTGAATATTTCAAGCTATGCATCTTTAATAATGCGCCACGATGTCGGCGACGTCGACGTCAATGTCGATGACGGTGCCCCAGGCTGTTTGTGGTAGCAGGCATGCAAATGCAAATGTGCAAAATGCAAAATGCACAGTAGCTCTGGGCCTGGCTCTGGCCCGTCGCGGCCCAGAGTGTGGAGGATGTAATTTGGACGCTTTTTCCTGGCTAAACTGACCGATGTCTTAGCAGGGTTCCGGGTTGCGGGTCCCAGGCCGGCAACGCCTTCTAATCAAACTTGACTTGACTTTTCTTTGCTACGTGTTTGAATACCCGTCAGTCGTAGCTGCCAACGGGTATACTCATACTCGTATTGTGTTCGTGTAGGTGTATTCGACACTCAGCAGAAATCATCCACACCCTCTTCGATCCATTCTCTCCGTTCGTTTTGATCAACTGGATATATCTACCAGGATTTGGAAGAACACACCCCAGAATTATATCTGTTTCAGTACGGATTTGGGAGTACGGAGTAGCGGGTATATGGTAGTCACAATCCTCGAATCTAACATTCTGGCTGGTATTTTTTCTAGCCAGCAGAGAAAAAACTTTAAACTTTGAATCGAGACTTGGCTTAGGTTTCCTTTTCGGTTTCGGTCTGGCAACATCTAATTGAATCCGACCGCATCAGGATGAAGTTCGTCTTTGGCGACAGTTTTGTTTGGGGTTTCTGGCTTGAGACCTCCGTGCCCTCCCTCCTTGCCTTCGCATTCCCTCTTTCCCAGCCCTCTTTGGGCCCTATCTGCTTTGTGTGTGTTTAGTTGACCGCAGTCAAAAATAGCTTTGAAAAACTTTGACTGCGAACGGAAGAGTCTCCCTGCGGCCCCTCGCAGCATGATGAGGTGCTGTCTGGGAGATTGCTGGCTGCCTGGCATCTTTGTCAGAGTCAAAAGTTTGCCATAGTTCAAGTTAATGTTGTGTGACTTTTGGTAGTTTTCTTTTCGGTCAGGCAAATGAACCATGTTTCGGATGATGTACGAGTATTGATGTATTGGCCAACAAAAAGGAGAGAAACTTTTAATAAGTTTGTCAAGTGCTTATTACTCGCATAGATCGCATGATGGCCAGGGCAAAACTTTCCGGGCTAAAAGAAACCATTGCAAGAACGGGCCAGGGCCAGAGCTAGAACCAGGCCAGAGTGAGGCTCAGGCTGATGCGAAACTTTTGACAGCGTCTCTCTCATAAATAGAACGTGGCCAGAAACAATGGTCTAACCCGCTTTGCTCTGTTGTCCGTCCAGTTAATTAAAATGTTGTATTCAAGTTAACTACTGCGGCGGATGGTGGATGGTGAATGGTGGATGGGGTGAATAGTGGGGCTCAGCCTAAGCTGCGTATGCGATATGTTGCACCAGGACGAGACGCGAATTGTAGCAAATCAGCTTAGCGTGGCTGAGCCGTGCTACAGCCCCAAGATCCAACAATGGAGATTGCTGTGGAGGGTCTGGGGTTGAATTTAATTTAGCTTCTGCCTTATTTTTTCCACCGCTCGACCCCAGCGCAGGTGGACGAGACAACA